TAAATTTTGCACTTTTTGAATGTGGTAGGGATAGCGATTATCTCCTTTTACAGTTCGCCAAATTGTTTGTGGTGACACTCCCAATACAGCCGACGCATTCCGAACGCTGGTCTCAGGATGATTGTCAAAATGTTGTAAAATACGATTCCCTGCCTGCAAATCTCTTCGTAACGCTGCTTGAAATCGGTTGTTTTCTTGTCGAATTGAAAATGTTCCAGTCTCTCGCAATCTATTAAATGTCAACATAAACACTCTTCGGTTTGGCACTCTTCTGTTTGGAAATCGTCGTGCATATTCTCGCACCGCCTTTAAAGCATTACCGTTGCAGAAACCGTATACAAAAACCATATCAGCATATTCACTATTAGAATACGTACGCGGCATATTGCAAAAGACAAAATTCATCTACTGTTAAAGGCTTTCAAAGAGCGACTGACAAATTCATAACAGAAAGTGGAAAATGTAATCAAATATGTCGGTGCTAGATATGGCAAGAAATGTAAACATTTTTTTTCGATTTCTCTGAAACGGAGCAAAAACGAGCATATGTCTATAGGACTTTTTTTCTTAGTTTTTTACTCCTCTACACGCTCCCGAAGTTTTGCCATTTAATTTGGAAACACCCTGTATATATACATATACATATATACAGGATGTCCCAGTATAACTGCCAAATAATTCGTATGCTGAAAGAGTAGACTAAACTGAGTTGAAAAGTCCTTTACCATTTTGCAATTTTCGTAATTATAGTTAACAAGATATTAATTACTAAAAATCGCCGAATATTGGTTTTCATTAATTGTTTACTCAATTATTATCAACTTTACAGGAAAACAGCAAGTGACAAAAATTGTTTACTTTCTTCTCATAGATTTCTGAGAATTTTTTCAGAATTTTTCAGTATCGCATTTTCTCATGTTGATAAAAATAATTACCAATAAGAAAATGCAGTATTAAAAAGTTGATAAAAAATTCTGAAAAAACTTTTAGAGCTCTATGTGAAGAAAATAAACAATTTTTGTCACCTGTTGTTTTCCTGTAAAGTTGATAGTACTTAAATAAAAAATTAAAAAAAACCAATATTCGGCGATATTTAGTAATTAATAGCTTGTTAACTATTGCGAAAATTGTAAAATGATAAAGGACTTTTCGACTTAGTTTAGTTCGCTTTACCAGCACACGAAATATTTGGCGGTCACTCCAGGACACTCTGTATATAATACATGTATATAGTGTTTCGACATTTTGGGATTAGAATTTTTATCTCAAAACTTGACTTGAGGAATCTACCGTTAGCAGGTGGTGCGTCGAGTCTGAAAAACTCTGTATATACAAGGTCCGCCAAAAGTTCAGCGCAGCACCTAAATAACTTCTGAATGGTTCGAGATATACTATATAGCATTGAAACTTATAAGAATACAATAAGAAAATTTATCATTTAATCTCAAAAACATTTATCTTAACATCCCTGGGGAGTGCAGGGAGAGGGAAGCCGGAAAATCTTAAATGGCATATGGGGTCGAGTGAGAACTCGTTCGAAAAAATTTTCCGTGACAAGAACAACGTGGGGTGATTGAAGTCGCATTATACAATCGGAGTGTAAGCTATTGATTAAGAGTACAAAGAACTCGATCGGTTCAGCCCTTATTGAAATATAATAATCTCGGTCCCCCTCAACTCGCCGGCTCGCGTAAAGGTACATACACGGTCGGTCTAGCCATGACATGTCGCTGCGCTTGTGTTAATGCTGAGACATTACCATGTCTCCTGATATAAAAAATATGAATATTCCCATATAGTACAGAAGTTTGCAGCAATATTGTTGCAATGTGTTGCAACGTTGCATATTGCAACGATGTTTGAACAGACCTGAATTAGGCAGAGCACTGGCATTTATCCTTTGTTATTTATGCTTTGTCTTGCTCATGATGGAAGAATTGACAGGGCACAAGTGAGACAACGCGCATAACAATTCAAAGCAATCAGCTAGTCAATCAAATTTGGGTCCTAAATTTGATCCTACTGTGGAAAAGTTCTCTCTCCCATGGCCTTGCTCACCGAGACGACGGAGAGAAAGCTCACAAGCCGAGTTTTGGACAGGCCTGATATCAATATTTCTAATTGCACTGTTTATGAATAAATGTTAATGATGCACTTACAGTTATGGTAGAGGTATAGGCATTTCTACTCAGGAATTCTAATAATTTTTCCTTAGCTTCTTTCTCAGCAATTCTTGCACGTAATAATTCGTCCTTTAATTTTTCTGCTTCAGCAGCTCTACGTTCCGATTCTTGAACTAGTCTTTCAGTTAATAATTCAGCCTCTCTAGTTTTCCGTTCCAAATGGACTTTTTCTTCTTCAGTCTTCATATTATTCAATCGTATACGCGTAATTTCTTGTTCAGCTTCCGATGCTTTCTGACTTAAAAGCATTGCTTCTTCTTCTGCTACACGGCTTTTCTCGGCTAAAAGATCTGCTGTCTCTTCAGACCTTCTCTATAAAACATAAAATCAAATTATTAAGTACATAATTAAACATTTTCTATGTATATATTAATTTATATTTTTATATGCTTATTTCTATATTTTTCTGTGTCATTAGTTTCTTACAAGAGCTTCATTCGCCAATCGTATCTCCTCCTGATATTGTAGAAGTCGCTGTTCCATTGCAGCCTTTTCTCTTTCCGCTGCCTCTCTTAATTGTTTTTCTCGTGCTAATTTATTTCTTTCAATTTGCCTCCTAGATGTAATGTCATGAATATTTTTAAAATATTCAGATGATCAAATAATGATAAAGATATAATTTGAAATTAATCATCAAATTAGACCATTATCACATTTTATTTCCTTAAATATAATGTAATCGATAATATAAAGCGATCTCCGGTTTGTTAAAAAAATATCTGAACTTCGATTGTAATACTTACAAATATACAACCGACAGGTTAATTCCATTCAAAGTATATGCCTTTGCAATTTAATACACTTATTCACATAGCGATTATTTTCATCGTTTAAAAGAAGTTTATGGAAAAATTATGGTAATTATATTTTCAAAAAGTTATATATTTCACATCAGCGACCTTGATTTTAGACATTGTATAGGATAGATTTCTGAGTCAGCTTTTCAAATTAAGTGGAGATTGCGTTTGAGATAAAAATCATATTAAAATATCATAATTTTCATTTAAAAAGATCATTCAGTGAGATGACCTCTGTCCAGCTAACCTTCTATATAATAAAAGATGAATAAAAGATGAATAGCTCAGAATTAGGAATTCTTTATGAGCTTTTAAATTAGTGCAGTTTCAATTTTTGAGTTTCATCCCTTATTTTCAAAACAATCCCAAAACTAATTTACACTCTAAAGATAAATCATAGAAAATAGCATTATATCTACAATTTCATTAATAAAAATGGTTCCAGAATTAATGCAATACAAATATATATAATTTTTTATTTTTGAGTTGCAATCCCTTAGCAGGAAAATCATCCTAGCGTCGGCACGCAAGAAAGAACTATGTTAGAAAATCGGAAAATAATTCATTTTAAGACTGCAAATTATCTGTTAATTCAGGAGCTCTTGGAATATACATAAACTGATTTTTCACTTGCAGGAAAATCACCCTTATTTAATCGTGATTTTACTTGGGAATAAGACTCGGCCGTGATATAAGAGCTAATGATTTCGCTAATTATGATATTGATATTATTAATCCAACATTTCTTAAAGCTCGAATACAGTCCAGGCATGTTAATAAAATACGATACCATGTCTACATTGTAACAGAACGGAATGATGAAGGTCTTTCCCTTCATCTTTAGGGTGAATTCGGATAGCAAAAAAATTATTTGTTACATGTCAGGGTATCCTCTATGTATTGTCAGAGTTTTATAATTTTTAAATTCCGAGTTGAGGGCCTTTCCTTGTCAGTTATGTAGATAATGAAGTCATTAAACACCTTTTTGAATACAAACACAGAATTTGTGATAAAAACAAACGAAAGAAGATACGTTTACTAACCTAGATTTTTCTTCCTTGGCTTGTGCTTTCATTTGTTGAACTTCCATAGAATCAGGTTTGCGTCTCCTCATAAATAGATCGTGATTGCCGATACATAGATCTAGGATCTTAACAAATAATACGTGAGCAGCTGTGTCACTATTACGTTCGTTCAATTTTAAAGCTATTAAACCCCTCACCCAGCTGCCAACATCTGATTGTTTTTTTACCAGTTTGTTCATGCGAGTTTTCTGCGAGAAGAACATGAAGTTTGGTGATGTTTTCTCAACAGGCTTGATTATGAACTTCTTATCGTCGAAACTAATATGACGAATTTCCGACCATGTAAACGTTGTCTTCGGTGCCAGTTTATTTTCCTTCTCATAAATATTTAATCCCAATGCTGTTACTCCAAGCCAAAGATCTGTTTCCTTCTTATTCTATAATATAAAACAAGAAAATTTATATTAATAGATTTTTCAAGATATCAAAATATTAAAATATTAAAGGATACAAAATATAATATAAATGTTTACTTTAGGGGAGATATCTCCGATGTTCTTGATCTTGACATATGTTGTCAAGAATACTCTCCTGAATGCCCTCTAAAAAGTTTTAACCATCGCTCGTTATTAAAAAGTTATTAAAAAATAAAGTTAATTATCTTCTCTAATATTTTTAATAGTAATAAAATGTATATTTTTGCATGGAAAACTATAAACCCATGTGGAACCTTGCTTTACATTTAAAGTTCATAAGTATGCAATTTTTTTATGGGTTCCGCGCCCGGCGACTCCAAATCATCAAAAAACTAGACAAGTTTGGGTTGAACCTCCCTTTACGTCAAAAATTGTAAATCCAACTTGAAACTTCGCTTCGCGTTGAAAATTGTAAAACCAGAGTCAAATTAGTTTTGTTTCTTTAGTAAATCCCCCCTCCGGGAACTCATTGTCTCCATGCTCATACAATACGTATTCAGCGAAACAAGGTATTACATAAATTTGCAACTTTTCACGCGAAGCGAGGTTCAACTCAAATTTATTTTTTGATAATGGAATCCTCCTTCCCTCCATAGAGACGAAATCCACTGCGTTCACGCATACATTTTACAACGCAAAATAAGATTCCACATGGATTTAACCATGAATATAAGGCATGTAAATGTGCTAATAATGCGATATTTAGATTAAATAAAATTAAACCTTTTTTAGTTTGAAACTTTTTAATTAATAAACAATAAGCGACAGGTAAAACCTTTTGGAAGTTATTCAGAAGGGTGTCTTTGACAACATATATCAAGATTATCGAAGTGCCTTCCCTAAAGTGAACATTTACGAAAGATATAGTTAATGTAAATTATATCATATACCTACACTAATAGGAAAATAGTTCACACCATACATATCGAGATCCTGAGCAATCTTAAGATATTCCATTTCTGCTTCGTCTCGAGACATGCCACGATGATCGGCATACCAAATTTTTATCCTATCCTCCCACATTTCTGGAGTCATTTGATATTGATCTATAACTCTCTGTGGAAGCAAGTCCTCACTGGCAAGCATTCCAGGGCGATATGAAATTTCATCATAATCGCCATACTGATAATCAAAATAGAAATTACTATTTTTTCTATTATACACATATTATAATTATTAATTTTTGTAAAAAAAAAAAACTAACTTTTGGATGCATATTTAAATCAATATAAATACATACAGTCACACACCCACACACATACACACACAAGATCCTATTTTAATAGTTACCAACAAATACTTCGACAAATACGGAAGGTACGGAAAAACGTTTCGATAAAAGTACAGCTTGAAGAGCGAAGGGAAAAGAGTGTAAATAATAAAAACAATTTTCGAAAAAAAGTCAATTTTTGAAAATGCGAAGACTGTCGCATTATTCCATTTTTCTATGGAATTATATGATTTTTTTACTTACCTAATAAGATTTCTCTAATTATTCTGCATATTAAGTTAAAAATAAAAAATCAATAGTTTACGAAATATTTTATATTTCATTTTGGCACATTTTTGATATGCAATGTATCGTAAATTACTAATTTTTCGATAATCATATCATAATATTTTTATACACAGAATGATGAGATAAATCAATTGTGTAAAGAAAACACATAGTTACTATTAAAAAAAAGGTGTTTCAAACTTTTTTGCAGATGCATCGCTTGTAGGCAAGCGAACTAGACTAAACTGAGTTGAAACATCATTTTGCAATTTTCGCAATAGTTAACGAGATATTAATTTCTAAAAATCACCGAATAAACGGGTAAAATCGACGCATAATAAGACAACTTTAAAATTTAGACATAAGACAACTTTCGTTTAGAGTTCTTTATGAAATACTTTAAAGTGTTTCTTAAAGAACTCTTAAAATTGTTTTATGCGTCAATTTTAGACATTTTGCTCATTGAATAATTTAAAAAAATTGCGAAAATTGCAAAATGGTAGACGACTTTTCGATTCAGTTTAGTTTGCTCTACCTGCCCACAAAGTGTGTCAAAAAGTTTGGGACACCCTGTATAAGATAACTGGACTCTATTATGATCTAGTATCTAATATGCCCTACTCGCTGTTTATGGATAATTACACAATGAATTCAACAGATTGCTTAGACGGACAAAGATGAACGTAAGTCGTAGTTGTAGGTTGATCAAAACATTGTGCGTTGACCCACGACTATGACTCAGTTACGACCATCTTTGTGCTGAGATCTTCGATTGCATCAGACTTGATTGTATCAGTTTATTGCTCAGTTTGTTCATTTTATATTGCTAACAAAAATTAGGGGATTACTTAAAGCGCTAAAAAAGAGCAAATTCAAAATTACATATCTTTGCAAAAAATAGCCGCAGAACGATGTTTAAAAAGCATTTAAACCTTCATTTTTAAATGCTTGAAACCTTATGTGTTTGCAACAAATTCACTACAAATGGCACTGGTTTAAAGTGAACCATATGGCCAAACTATGCATACTGAGTGTATGTACACACATCGATCGTAATGTTTTTTTTACTTTTGTTTTAAATGGATTCTAATTCACCTATTAAATATCGTGGAAATAAGTAGATAAGTAAATAAGCAATATAATACGAATTTGGACCAATGAGAATAAATTTAATTAAATAAGACAATTTCTATATTTGGTCAAAGCAAATCTTAATGCTTAAATATTTTTATGTAAATTTATATACATATCTGATTCTGTAAACTGCACGCCGAAATTTTTTTCGATCTTCAAAGGCAATCATGAGTAGAATCAGAATAGTAATTAAAATTGAAAAGCAATTTTTGATGCTAGCCAGCAATTTTATAAGGATTAAAAATTAAATGTTAATGAAATCTAATATCTGTAAATAATTTTATTACGAAAAATATTGCCTCAGAGTTTGAACCTGGAACTCTCGGTACATAAGTAGATAAGTCAATTGTTTAGAAAACAATTTTTTATATATTTTTACATATCAATAAACATGTTAGTATGTTAATCAATTTATAATCCTATAAAAGTAACATAAAATCACTTTATCTTCTATTTTTTTCTAATATCTTTTTACGGAAAAAAAAACACGTATACTTAGATCATGCCACAGGTACATATGTATGATGTAAATATACGTTTTCCACTTTTTCGTAAAAAAATGTTTTAAAAGATGAAAAATATAACCTACTTTTTCTCAAAATCTTCACTGCACTCATGTAAATATTTGTAATAACTTTATATTTTTTTATGTTGAAAAATGTTTCCTTTTTTTAAAGGGCCTAGCAGGATAAGCATGCGTATGCTGCCCCCCGCATTTATCTGGAGATTTTTACCATAAGTTAGCAGCGATGCAAGAATGAATTTCGCAAAATATTACATCTGAAAAAAATTGTTTATGGGAGTTATGGGGATAAAATTGAAAATCGATGAAACGAATTTTCTCTTTAATGGATGAACCGATTTCGACGAAAAAGAAATATGTTATAGGGTTCAATGGTGCGATGTTTAAAAAAAATTATGAAAATTTTTTTCGAAAAACGATTGAAAAAAATTTCCAAAATTTTTAACATTTTCTTTTAATAGGATGTACTCTTGAGACACTACTACCGTTTTTTTTTTTACTAAAAAATGATTTTCGACTTATCTAGTATAACATATTTAATTTTCAAAACGATCAGAAAGGTAGTACATAATTTAAAAAAATGAAGAGTTTGAGTGTGCAGTGTACGATTAGCCGGGTGTTGCATTTACGATTCGTCAGTGACGCAGACATTTTCTATTGCATTGAGTCAAATCAAAGAAAACTCGACATTTTGCAAAAAAAAAAAATAGCAAAAATGAACCAATATAGCAAGTATTTTTAGATAAGTGTTACTTATATAAAAACGCGTTGTGAATGGACCTACTGAAATAGTTTATCAAGCGATCAAATTAAATAATAACGATAACCGCGTTAATACTAATGATCAAAGCTGATAGCGCTCCACGGCAATTCACGCGACACAGAGCGCGAAAGACTGACTAAAATACGTCTATCTTCTACTATGAACGTGGAAATATTTCATGTAAACAGCAGGATAAAGGACTCGCTGGCAAAAAAATTAAAGACGTGGGAGATCGTTCGCAGTTTTTTCGCGAGTTGTTCTTACATAAGCATCTATACATAGCTGAGCTTTAATACCTAGTGTAATATGCGTAGCCGAATCTCATGCAACACCCGGCTAATCGTACATCGCACGCTCAAACTCTTCATTTTTTAAAACTATGTACTACCTTTCCGATCGTTTTGAAAATTAAATACGTTATACTAGATAAGTCGAAGATCATTTTAGTAAAAAATGGTAGTAGTGTCTCAAGTACATCCTATTAAAAGAAAATATTAAAAACTTTGAAAATTTTTTTCAATCGTTTTTCAAAAAAAATTTTCATTTTTTTAAACATCGCACCATTAAATCCTATAACATATTTCTTTTTCGTCGAAATCGGTTCATCCATTAAAGAGAAAATTCGTTTCATCGATTTTCAATTTTATCCCCATAACTCCCATAAAAATTTTTTTTCAGATATAATATTTTGCGAAATTTATTCTTGCATCGCTGCTAACTTATGGTAAAAATCTCGACCAGATAAATGCAGGGGGCAGCATACACATACTTATCCTATTAGGTCCTTCATCAGTTTTCAATTTTTTACTCAGAAAAAATTAGAAAAAGTTTCGAAGATCAGTTAGACCATATAGGATCCGATTATCTTATTTGCACGATTATTGCAAACTGCACAGTTGCTTTTCTTTAAGAGCAAGTATGTGTTTTTCACATCAGTTGAATCATCCTATTTTTATTCTGTTCATAAAAGTATTAGGGTACAATTATAAAAAAAAGATAATAATTTAGGAGATATTTGACATTTCATGTCAATATATACCAGAATAAAGTATAAGATATCTTGTAAACTATTAATGTTTTTTATATCTCTGTTTTAATACTTTTATATGCAAAATAATTAAAAGAATCATGTTACGGAAAAAAATCATATAATTCCATTTAAAAAAAATGGTACTGACCTTTATATCTGTTTGAACTCAAACTTTGACTTAAAAAAATAAAAAACATGTTCAAAGTATGTCTCCCTTGAAATCGTTCCATTTTCATCTGAAACATTTTTTCATCAAAAATAAGTAAAATATTCAAGATTTTCAATTTCCAGGATATACGTGTGTGTGTGTGTGTGTGTGTGTGTGTGTGTGTGTGTGTGTGTGTGTGTGCGCGCTTGAGGAATGTACAGAAGTAAATCAAGTCCAAGATCTAGTTGCTTTAAAAGTAGAGTTCTATTTGATAGAAACTTTACAAATCTTCGGATTTGGTACAGATTTTATTTAAGCAATTGATATTGTTATCTGAAATGTGTATAATTTATGTTTCTAATTTAAATTTTTTAAATATATTCTATTAATCCTATTAATAAGTCACGTAAAATACAAACATGTCTTACCTTATACAAGCAATTCAAAGTACATAAATAAGATAAATCTATAATTTGTGTATGTTGTATGTTTAAACTATATTTATTTATTATATTTAAAATATATTTTGTATTATATTATATATATATATATAGTTAAAATACAAATTATTAGTTATTTTAATTTTAATTTATATTAATATATTAATTTAACAAATGTATAGATCAGTATTCATAGTCGGTTGTTATATTTAAAACAATCTTAAATATAAGAATCAACTACAAATACCATTTATAGTTTAGCTTACAAAAAGATACCTTTGCTTGAACAGCATAAGAAGCAAGTAATACAGAAGCCTCAGGTGGACAATAAATATCCATGGATAGTATAGCTTGCTTCACTTGTAAAAAGAACAGATGTTGAGTGACTTCTTGTACTAGTTCTTCAGCAACATCCTCAGGATAAAATTTTGCTAAGAACATGAATGATGTTGTTTGATGCTGCGAAATGCCTTGATCTTGAACTGTAATTAGTTCCGTGTCATTGCAGTAAATATATACAATTAATTACAAAAATATCCGGATTATATCTATTTCAATCAATGTCTAAATACTGAACAAATGGCGACAAATTACAATCACCTTTTTTGTCTAATTTTAACCAAGAAATAAAGCCCTTTGCATCTTCGTATTGAAGTCCAAAATACCACGTTTCTCTCAATCCTATCGTACGGCACACCAGATCAAACAATTCTCTGCCTGTCGATCTCCACTATGCCACAGGAAATTTGTCAGCTTGCGAGATATATCATCAGTGCAAGATACATAATAGCAATTCAACGTAAGACTGTGACACTTATCTACTAACCTCTAGATTAAATTCGAGTTCTGCATCTAAGGTGCAAACTTTGACGGGAAAAGATCTCCCGGACTTTTTCCTCCGAAACGGTGACATCTTATTTTTCGCTGTGTTCATTCAGTATTACAAAAGCATTACATACTGTTGATCGCTATGTCGTGAAAGCACTCGATCATATGACAAATTAGACTTCGCGCCGCTATATTGACAAATATTTTCACGATGCAGCATCGATATTTTTTTGACTCGCATCTGTTGAGATGTAACCAAACTATAAATGAAAAATAACCTTACCTAAAATCTCCAATACTGCACGTTCTCGACATATCTAATAACGAAATATGAGTATTAATCGAGACGAGCACGACGGCTTGTTTCAAGTTTCAAGCGTTTGACATCTCGAGTGTGGTTCGCACAATCACATCCTGTCCAATTCTATTATGATCGCGCACCTATTTGTTGATTTGATATTTTCACGAGCGTAGTTGATACGTGCGTGCATATATTTATCGTTTACGTTTGTGCGAGCTATATCGCGGAATTGTCTAGAATTTTTGCTATTTCCTACAAATGGTCTTACAATTAGTTTGATGAGCGATAGTCACACTCGCACTTTGCTCGACAGTGTTCGTAATATGATGATATATTGTTTTCAAACTTGTGTATTTATAGATATACGTGAAAATATTAATGATACAGGATGCGTTCCAAAATTAATTAAGTATTAAAGATATTATAGAATAATTGTCGGCATTTCAGCTCAGATAAATTGAAAGCGCTACTTTGGTGTATCTAGAGCTCTATACGAGGCTGGAGAGCCGAGGGATATTCCAGAGTTGCGTTCGGAAACATCACTCGAATGCCATCGCGTGTCGTTTCATCCTTGTTATTCACCAAATGTTAAATAAGGATAAAACGATACACAGGGGCACCCAGGTGATGTTTCCCAACGCAGCTCAGGGGCTCTATTCTTGAAAAGAATCGCATACGACAAACTAGGGAAATACTATAGTGCACGTAACATGTGCTATAGTATTTCCCTATCGAATGACGCTAGTGGCGGCGTAAAGGCCATCATGCGAGGTCTACAATAGAAGTCGTAGCAATCGTAGGGTCTTAAGTCGTAGAAAATTGACCAATCACAGTCGAATATAAGAAGAATAATCAACTGTGGTTGGTCAATTTTCTACGACTTAAGACCCTACGACCGCTACGACTTCTATTGTAGACTCCACATCACACGTACAAAAATTTTAGTCGTAATCGTAAGGCCGTAAGCAAATCGGCCAATCACAATCGAGCGTTTTAAAACGCGAGATCGTAATTTTGATTGTGATTGGTCGATTTGCTTGCGATCTTAAGAGAGTCGGATAGAGAGACTACTATGTATGCGATGACTCAGAGAATATAGACTACGTTTATACGGCATCCTTAAGGCCATCACACGTACAAAAATTTTAGTCGTAATTGTAACCCCGGATCTACAATAGAGTTTTAAGTCTTAAGCCATAAGAAATGGATGAATCATAGTCGATTATTCTCCTCGAATTCGACTGTGATTGGTCAATTTCTTACAACTTAAGGATTAAAACACCTATTGTAAATCCGGGGTAAGGCCGTAGGCAAATCGGCCAATCACAGTCGAGCGTTTAAAAACGCGTGTTAAGGTGCAATTTCACGCAGCGAAACTTCGCTGGCGAAGATCCCTCACTCCGCCGATAACGAAGCCAGCGTTCAACGCTTCGCTAAAGCCCATGGCACATATAAAAACGTAAGGCCGTAAGACGTAAGCAGTAAGGAAATCGTAACATTGGATTCGCTACTGGCCTTACGGTCTCTACCGTGATTGGCCAATTCCCTTACTGATTATGTCTTACGGCCTTACATTTTTGTATGTGCCATGGGCTTAAGGGCTGCGGCAGACAAAATTTCGGTAACAGTAACCTTAATGCGTGTTCTACAATGGGCAGTAGCAGTAGTGGATTAAGAAGTAGACATTAGAAGTAGGCTGTAGGATTAGGATCTCTTTACGTCTGAGTGTCTACAATGACTTAGAGACTTGCACCGATTTGTCTCCATGCTTCGGTTTTCACATTGGCGTTGGCATATAATTTTTCGGTCTTATCATACAAAAACCGATTGCACCGGACCACGGCAATTAATTCTCGGTTAATCCTTATTTCAAAATCACGCCCAGAACTATCATGAAACTCCATGTCTGCCATACTTTAGGTTATAGCATGCAAAAACAGCACTAGCTTCTTGCGCGCGTTTTCTTTACTACTGAATGCTGAGTTCTCATTGGTTGAGAGTAAGAGAGTAGAGTAAGAAATGGATTTCAACCATTTCACTTACGGACTTGCTCTACACCCTATAATACCGAAAAACCAGCTTACTGCGACGTCTTACTGCTTCATCCGCTACTATTACTGCCCATTGTAGACCACGCATAAGACGTGAACTTAAGCCGATGAGCCAATCAGGATACTGTTTTAGATTTACGTAATCTGACGGAAATAGAAATAGCAGTAAACTTATCCATAAGGCGAGTTTCAACCGGTTGAAATTCGCCTTATTGCGAGGTTATGGCTAAGTTTACTATTATTTCCATTTCCGTTAGATTACGTAGACTTAAAGCAATATCTTGATTGGCTCATCGGCTTAAGTTTACATCTTACGATCACTGTTATGGAATTTTGTGTGCGGTAGCCCTAAGCCCTATTGCCTTTTCATGGAGCGAAGTTTCGCTGGCGATATCCCCACTACCACAGATATATTGTGCTACTATTGCGTCACGAATGAAGAAGTGTTTTGAACTTGAACAAGTCGTTCGGCAGTTAAGGTGCGTTCCGTATCTTGCATGATGCGCATGATGCATCTATTGTCCTTGTTTAACATTTGGTGAGCAACAAGGATAAACGATGCATTATGCACATCATGCGAGAAACGGAACGCATTCTTAGTTTTATTTGTATCAAATTGTGAAAATGCGTATCATTGCAATAAAAATTAGACAAAAAGATATAACGAATACCTGAAATGGATAATGAATACCTGAATTACGTTGAGCAGTTTAAACGTACAATTTTAACTGTTGTAGAACTAGAAATTAAAAGACGACGTACAGCCGCAGCAGCTGCTGTGCTACGTTATACGGAAAATAAAAACCGGCAATATTCTAAAAAACAATGTTGGATAGCGCCCATCTTCGAAGATCGCAATAAAAGCAGTTTTTACTTTGCATCAGTCCCAAAATTAAGATTAGAAGATCTCCGTTTCCATAATTATTTTAGAATGAGTTCAAATAAGTTGGAGGAATTATTACAAATTGTTGGTGCGAAACTACAAAAACAGAATGTTGTTCGGGAATCCATTTCCCCACCTGAACGCTTAGCATTGATATTGAGGTTTGTTTGAATCTGTTTATGTATGTTATGTATGTACCTAGCTAAAACATAGTTACATGTAACGTACTCGTTAGTTGTAATTTCCCACTCAACAATATAACTGTAATATAACACGTGTGTATATTTCCTAAAATGTAATTTTTATTTTATTATTTAAAAACATTTATATATATATAATATAATATTAAACAAAATTATATTAAAATGATTAAAAGAAGAGCCAAAACAATTTATAATATTCTTCATCCGCTTATCTTATTTCTTCCTTTTAGCATCCATTGTTACTTTTAATAATTGTAATGTTACTTCATCATGCAACTCCGGGTCTATCTCACGGAGTTGGGCAGCTATCATATTTCCAATTATGGTTGGTTTATCAAATGCAGCTTGTGCAGGAGGTAACATTTGTTTTATTTGGTCCATATTAAAAGATATTGACAGGGAATCGGCAATCCGGTCTAATGCACTGTCTTCACTGAAGCGACGTTTTCCTGTAAAAATATTCACATCTAATATTTTTCAACACTATAAAGTATTATAGTATAGCACTATAAAGTATTATAGTATAGCATAATTTTTACGCTCTTTACAAAACAGTTTGTATTTTATTTGAAAATATAATCTTCGAATAAATTTCCTATCTTAAAATTGGCGTGTTACGTGCCCTGAAGCCTCTTTTCGTTGAGGCTGTTAGAGTATTAGTTTGAGTATTAGTTTGTCGTATCTAAAGGTTTTGGGGGTCGCCGATTTCGAATCCGGTCTCAAAATTTGAAAATTCAAAATGGTTGAATCAATATGGAGGATTCAAGTTTTACCGAAAATGCTAAAAGTCTTCCGATTTTTGCGAAATGTAGTATTAAAAGGTTTCGGGGTCGCTGAAGCCGAAACCGAACTTAAATTTTGAAAATTCAAAATGGCTGAACCAATATGATGGACGGAAATGCTAAAAATTCTCCGATTGTAGCGAATTGAAGTATTAAAGGGTTTTCGCGGTTGCTGATGCCGAATCCGAACTTAGAATTTAAAAATTCAACCAATATGGCGGATGGGACTGCTAAAGATGAAATGTTCTATTAAAGAGTTTTCAATGACACTGATTTCGAACAATCTTTCCATTTCTATTCCTAATCTAAAATTTTGAAATTTAAAATATTTAACCAATTTGGCGAACGGCAATTCTATGTCGATTCTTATTTTAAGACCGTCTTAAGTAATCTCCTAAGACGCTAATGTGGTCCTCGGTATATGTAAGGAAAC